ATTAATCTTAGAGAAAGGAATTATGAAAAGCATTCCATGCAAATCACCTTCAAAAACATTAAGTACCTGGGAATACACCCTAACTGAAGAAGAGAACGAACTCTGTAATGAAAACTGAAATAGACTGAATGAAGACACTGAAAAAGCAATCAAAGAAGGTAGTAGATGGCGGAAAGGCCTCTATGCTTCTGGTTTGGCAGAGTCAATACTGTAAAAATAGCTATACTACCCAATTAGTCTACGGATTTAATGCGATACCTATCAAGTTTCTGATATGATACTACACAGATCTAGAAAAAGCAATCCAAGAATTCATATGGAACCACAAATGATCATGAATAGCCAAAGCAAGCCTAAGGAGCGAGAGCACAGCTGGAGAGATTACAGTCCTATCCTCAAATTGTTCTACAGAGCTGTAGTGATAAAGACAGTCTGATACTGGCATTAATGACAGTCAGACCAATGAAAGAGCATAGAGGACCCAGAAATAAAGAGACGAAGATATACCCATCTAATTATTGACAAAGGACGCAAAAGCATACATTGGGAAAAAGATAGCATATTCAACAAATGATGTTGACAAAACTGGATATCCACCTAAGCAAACTGAAATTAGATTCATAACGCTCATCTTGGTCAAAATCATTACAAAATGAATCATAGACCTTAGTTTAAAACTTGAATTGTTGATACTTCTAGATGAAAACATAGGGAATACTCTTCAAGACAGGGAAGCAACATCTTTCTGAACAGAATATCATCACTAACACAGCAACTAGCCCAACTTAAAACAGATGGGATTACATGAAATTAAAAAGTTTCTGCACAGCCGTGGAAACTATCAGCAGAGTACACAGACAGCCCACAGAGTGGGAGAAAATATTTTCCAGTTATACCTTAGATAAGAATCTAATGTCCATAATTTACTAAGAACTGCAGAAATTAAATTCCAAGGAAATAAAACTGCCAATCAACAAATGTACTAAAGACCTAGAATGTGTTCTGTTTTAGATAAAGTTCCAAAACCTGGAGTGAAGAATGTGTACACTGTTTCTGTTGAATGAACTATTTTATAGATATCTGCTAAGTCCATTTGATTTATAGAGTACTTTAACTCTGAGATTTCTTATCTCTTTTACATGGAACCTATCTGATGTTTATGCCCATTAGCATTTGTTTTATGAAACTGGGAGCCCCACATTTTGCATACATACTTCAGTTCTTGTAACTTCTTGATAAAGCGTTCCCTTTCTTAGTATGCCGAGGTCTTCATCTCTTCTGATTGGCTTTGTGTGATGTTTATTTCGACTGACATCAAAAGAACTCTGCTTGCTTGTTTTCAGTTTCCATTTACTTGGTTTGTTTTCCTTGCTTTTTCTCTCAGTCTGTGGGCGTCTTTACCAGTAAAGCCCTTTACTTTTTCTTGTATAGGTGTTTATATTGAATCTTTACTTTGTGTTTTTGGCATCTTTATTATAATATAGTAGAGAGCTTACTTTCTGGTCATGTCTATTTGGGTATCTAATGACTCTTACCTGAATGTCTATTTCTTTCTCTAGATTAAGGGAATGTCCTGCTTTGAGTTCAACAAATCGATTCTCTATCCCTTTAATGCTTATCTCAGCCCCTTCTTCTATCTTCTGGATTAGTGTATTTGTTTTCTTGATTTTATCCCAGTTTTATGGATATTGTGGTCATTATCATTTGTTGGGTTTTTTTTTTGTATTTATATTGGAATGCAGAATATCATCTTTGATATTCTCTTAGGTTGAGTCTGTTGGTGATATTTTCTGCTGTGATTTTGTAATTAACCATTTCCATTTTCTCTTCAAAAATCACATTATTAATATTGTTATTATAGCTGTTATCAAAATATTGTAACAGGCAGCAGACATTACAATCACAACCATGACTGTCATGTTTTCAGTCTTTTTAGTACTACTCTATGTCACAACATATTATTGAAATTTCATTCAACAACCTCTTTATTTGAGTAAAGATTGCAGTCTTACCCATATGGAAATTACGTCAGGATGGGGACAGTTATCTGCACCATACATACTAGTGGTAATTTCCCCGAGGGAAAAGAAATCTTGACAAGGGAATAGAGAGAAGGTGAAAACACTCCTGTCACCTTGAGGATCATGAATTTAAACAGGCTCAAGGTAGTCACATGTCGCAGTACTTTCATGAAATGAGAGGCACAGTTTATGATAGGTCTGAATGTGCTTTCTAGGCACATTGAATTGCAACTGTAAAGGCCTAAAACAGGAGTGACCTCAAAATGATCACAGAGGTGACTGTGATTGGACTGTGTAGACAAACAGGGACAAGAGATTGAGGACTAGCTCAGTTCATCCCTGTACGGGGGTGGACTTATAGGTACAAATCACAATATCTGACTTTGAGTATGGTAGAGAACCTTTGAAGACTGAAGTCAAGTATTGAAGCCAGGCGACTACACTGCAGATTGTTCTATCTGGAAACTAACTGCAAAATTAGCTGTAATGTCATTAAAATTGGAAATAGAAATAATACTAAATATTCTGCGAGCATCCAGGTAGATGACATGGTGGTGTGTACAAAGGAGCAAGCAGTTGGACTGGTGAGAAGTGATCTGAGGGTTGGTATATTGTACATGGCAGAGCTGTAGGGATAAGACCTGTAGGGATAAGAGGGAAAACGGGTAAGAAACAAAGAGGAAAGATCAGAATGTCTTGAAATGTGGAAATTGTCTCCATGCTGTCTCAATGCTTGTCTTTTTTCCCCAATTAGCTCTATAATGTCTTTCCATCAATAATGAAATATGTTCCTGGACCACATCACAGAATATTCAGGAACTGGGAAAAACTGAAATTGTTTGTTTCTCATATGATCGACAATCACCGGAAAGACTGGAATCCTGATGAGCCAAGGGACTTCATTGACGCTTTCCTCAAAGAAATGACAAAGGTGGGAAGGTGCTGCCCGTGTCTTATTACAGAAGAAGTGGGGTGCAGTAATTTCTGACTGATCCTGCAGCAGGCTACCACAGCGTTATGGTGTGATACAGCACGGCTTTATTCTCTCACAGATCTGGATGATCCTGTCTTCCTCCTGGCCAGGGCATCTTCCCTGGGTGTCTGTGGAGAGTCCATTTCATTTCCTCTTCCAGCTCTGAGAGGACACTGAGGCTCCTTCTTCCATTTCAATGCCAAGACTATATCATCCCTTTCCTCTTTGACCGTTGCTTTCCATTTCATCACTCTGATTCTCACTCTCACCCCCCCCCCTTAGAAGGATAAATCAGGATGTTATTGTTTGGGTGAGAAAAGCCCTCACATGCTCATATATTTGAATATGTGATCTCCACATGGTGGTCCTATTTGGGGAAGCTATGGAACCTTTAGGAAGTGTCCTTACTGGAAGAACTATGTCACTGGGGGATGGGTCTTCAGGGTTTATAGCCTCACCCTACCTCAAATTTTCTCTAACGTTTTTGGAAGGTGAAAATGTGATCAGCAAGCTCTCCTGCTCCTATGTCCAGTAGCCCATCATGATGGATGTTATCCTTCTGGAACTATAAGCCAAAATAAACCCTTTCTTCTTTTTGTTGCTTTTGGTTTAGATATTTTATCACAGCAACAGAAAATAACTAATCCAAAAATGGATAGTCTTCTTCTCTTGAATTAATCCCATCTGCAAAAGTCTATTGTATCTAATAACCTGCACAGATTTCAAGGATGAAGGAAATCTTTGTAGATCGCTGGTTAACACACCCCTTGGAGTACGAAGTTAGAGTAATATTTTATAGGTACATCAAAACATCACCTCAGGAGCTCAATAGAAATAAAGGGTTTGCTGTCATTGAGGTTGAGTCTCTGATAATTCTCAAATGTTGTTCTATGTTCCTCCCTGTACATTCCTGTATCTGACAGAGATTTACACAAAGTAAAAGAACTCTTTGTTGTTATATTTTTGTCCAGAGTCAGTTAATCCCCCACATTTCAGGCCCCACTGCAGACACAAGCAAAGATTATCTGAATGGTAGAGTTTAAGCTTGATGATTGGCTGTGGAACCGGCCCCCACCCTGTTCTCCACTTCACTGCCATTCAATGTCAGACAAGAACTAACTGGATATATGAGTTAATTTATGTCATTGTGACCATACCTTGCAGAAATAACTTACGAGAGGAAAGCTTTATTTTGGCTCACAGTTTCAGAGGGTTTTGTCCACCATGGCAGAGAAGGAATGGCAGAGGAGCTAAGATTTTGGTAGCATACATGTTAAATGGAGGCAGTTCACATCCTAGTACATCAGGAAACAAAAAGGCAGGAATCAGGGGCTTGGATTAGCTATAAGTGTCCCTTGCTGGATATGGTGGTGCACACCTTTAGTCCCAGCACTCAAAGGCAGAAGCATCCAGATCTCTGTGAGTTCTAGGCCTCCCTGGTGTACATAGCAAGTTCCAGGATAGCTAGGGTTATATAGTGAGATACCCTCCACCCCCTCACTGTTTGGGAACATTATGGAACCTTTATGAGGTACAGTCTTACAGTAGGAAGTGTGTTACTGGGTTTGGGCTTTGATTCTTTACAGCTTGGAACCACTTCCTGTTCTCCCTCTGTGCTTCCTGTGTGGATAAAATGTGATCAGCCAGCTTCCTCCTCTGCCACCATGATTTCCTTGCCTGTTGCCATGGGTTCCCCACCAGGATGGTCTCTATACTTTTGCAACCATAAGCCAAAATATATCCTCTCTTCCTTAAGTTGTTTTTGTTAGGGTATTTTTATTACAGCAACAGAAAAGTAGCTAATACACACACTTATTGACCTGCTTCCTCCAGCTAGACCCCACCTCCCACTTTTCAAGAACATCCAAAAATACTGCCAACTGCTAAGAACCAAGAATTCCAAGCATGGACCTGTAGGGGACATTTCCTGTTCAAACCATAACACAAAATGTATGGTTTTGACCTAAAAAAGCCTCTGTTTCATACACAGCACTGGCTCAGTCACTGGATTATGGGTTCCTCTTCTGGCAAGAGGTAGAATGGTAAATAGCTTTCCATCATCTCTCTTATTTCATCTTCCTGGCATAAACTGATCGGAGCAATATTGTTATTTTACATTTATTTTTATTTTATATGTATAAGTGTTTTGCCTCTATGTGTGTAAGTGCAGCCATTTCATGCAAAGCCCACCAAGGCCAGGAGAGGGTGTCAGATCCCCTGGCACTGGTGTTTCGAATGCTTGTTAGCCACTATGTGGGTGCTGGGACTAGATCTCGGGTCCTCTAGAAGAGCAGCAAGTGCTCTAAATCTTTGAGCCATCTCTCCATTGCCCTGAAGCAATGTTATATCTCCAGGGAAGGAGGCAAATTATTTGACATGTGGTATGCAGGTTTTGATCATCAACATTAAGAGCAATATTAATGATTGAAACTTGCAGAGTAAGCTGGCAAAGATGATGTCGTATTGTAAGGAATATTTTATGGACTCAAGAGAAGTTTTGAGTATGAAAGTTAAATGGGGAGTCTGGAGAAAAGAACACAGAGAATCCACTTGATTTGTTCTGACTCTTTTTTGCTGTTGTTTAGTATGGCTATGTGCCTATAGCGTGTCACACAACTGATAATGACATGTTAGGATGTTTGTGTTATTCTCATTTTATAAAACTGAACCAAAGAAAGGGGAAGGGAGTCCGTTAAGCCATGACATAACTTTGTGATGTACCTGATACTATCTAGAAGTCAAATATCCTTTTTATCCCATTTTCTTCTCATTGTATAAAAGCTTTTCAACAATATTGGTCATAAAAAAAGAGTTGTTTTGATTTTCATGCACCCTAGACTCAGAAGCTTTTGGTTCACTCCCAGCACTTGCAGCACAGTGCTTCCTGATGAGATCAAAGGGAATATTGTTTTAAATGGATCTTTCCAAATTTATTCCCAAGGTGAAGAAGACCCCATGTTTCAGGCTCCAGTGTGTGGGGAAAGACAATGCTGTGATATAGCTGCTTTTGAGGACGTCAAGAGGAGTGTCATTTTAGATGACTTGTTTCAAGTTCATTACCAGAGTGAAGAGCCCATGTTTTGAAAAAAAAAATCACATTTCTTCTGAATAAACAAGTGTAAATAATAAATTATTTTCTAGTACTCAGACAAGACTACTACAAGCTTCAATGAAGAAAACCTCATCTGCAGCACACTGGACCTCTTCTTTGCTGGAACAGAGACAACATCGACGACACTGCGCTGGGCTCTGCTCTACATGGCCCTCTACCCAGAAGTCCAAGGTGAGCATGTGGGGAATGTACTGGACAAGGCAGGGTGGTGATTCTGGAAGCTGTGGCTCAGAACGTGCACATAAGTTGGCATGGTGCAGAGGAACTGGTAGGACAGCTGTGAGGCGATGTGGACTTGGACTAGATGTGTACTCCATGTGCTCTGTCAGGACAGTGATGGGTCCAGGGTGCAGATATTCCAGAGTCTGTGCCCTCATGAAACATAGAGCCTAGGGGAAAACAAAGATATCAACTGATACTGTGGAATGTTTCGGTAAATACTGACATCACCACATGAACATCCACTCATGTTCCCCTTCCACTTTATCTATGCCTTCCCATTGTCCCTGGATCCTGTCCAATCTCCTAATTCCAGGATCTGGCACATTGTGATGCCCACCTCTCTCTGCGTGTTCAAGTTCAAGCCACCCGCCCTGCATGGTGGCTTCCCTGGATTACATGTCCCCTATTGGCCCTGTCCTTAGTCATGCCTCTAAGTCATGACACTGGGTCTTCCCTCTACCAAGAATGTTCTGTCACAATTTCTCTCCGTCTAGATGAATCTTCTCAGGTCCTGCCTCTCTAAGATGTTTCAAATTCCTCTAGGAATTTACTCACTTGGGGGAATTACTGTCATTCTCTTCCTTCAGAGTTGACCCAACATACCTCCATTCCTGTGATTTGCACACTGTGCATGTATCTCTACTGACCAGTATCCACCAGGGAAAGTGCCCCATTTTATCATTTTTATTCTTCCAGTTTCTAGAAGAGTTTAGAAATTTGGGGTAAGAACATTTTTCACATCATGGAATTTTTTTTCAAATTATGGACTACAATTTATTCATGAGACAATAATCAATTTAGTAGAATCAAACCCACTGTTTTTACCATAAGATGAAACTAAATAAAGAAATCAGAGAGCTTCCCCACATGTTAAAAGTAAATTTGCTAATAAAACTGTATTTCCTCAGTGTGTGTGTGTGTGTGTGTGTGTGTGTGTGTGCGTATTTAGGTGGAAGTATGTTTGCAGGTTTGTGCACCTGCTTGTGAAGGCGAGAATACAACTTCAAGTGATCACACTCAAGCACTATCTACTTTTTTATGAGACAAGGTCCCTCACCAGCCTGGATGTCATTAAGTAAGCTAGGCTGACTGGCCAGTGAGCCTCAGGGATCCACCTACCTCTGTCTCCCCAGTCCAGTGGGATTGTTAATTTGCCATTGTGATGGCTAATCCTGGGTGTCAACTTGACTGGATCTGGGATTAACTGAAATGAGAGAGATCTTCTTGATTGGATCATCTGAAGCTACAAGACACACCCTAAACTTTTGATGGCAGCCGGTATAAAAGGCAAGGCAGAGGAGACTGCTTGGCTTCTTGCTGCTTGCCTCCTCTTGCTGGTAAGTTAGCCTTGCTGCTGTAGACTGAAGACTAAATGATCTTTTGGAATTCGTCAGACCTTCAGCACCAGATTGGGACTACTGAGACATCCAGCTTCGTAGACTGAGTGACTACAGATTCTCAGCCTCTCCAGTGTGGTGCAGACATTGTTGAACTACTGGGACTCTATCCTTTGAGCGAAGCTGATAAATCTCTATACATGTGTATATATATATTCTTCATTCTACCAGTTCTGTTTCTTTGGAGAACCCTAAGTAATATAGCCACTAAACCATTTTTTTTACATGGATTCTGGGATCAAACTCAAGATTCTCATGCTTTCAAATCAAGGACTTTACCAAATAAGCTACCTCCCCAGGGAAACTTTATTTATTTTACAATGTGAAATACATACATACCATTTATTTTTATGTAGATACATCATGGGCCACCATTTTAAATGTGTTTTTGCCTGAAAATGACTTTGTAAATTTTTTATTACATTTTAATTTAGAATGTGTGTGTGTGTATGTGTGAGTATGCACAGACACATTAGTGTCAAGGAACCGGTGTGGAGGTCAGAGTACAACTGATGGGAATCTGTTCTCTCCTTCCACCATGTGGGACCTATGGGCTGAATTCAGGTCATCAGGCTTGGCAGAAAGTGTCATTATCTGTTCAGCCATCTTGATAGCCCAATATTGCATTATTTTAAAACATTTAAAACCTGCTCTGTTAGAATACAGATTTGACCTCTGGAAGAGATGCTACAAAATATCAGCGGGTTTAAATAGAAATTACATCCATGTCTGTTTTACAATATACAAAGTAGTCAAAAGATGTCATAAAAACAGAGTATTCATGGACAGTGAATAGATAAAATGTGGAGCATACATGAAATCAGAGAGAAATTGTGTCCTGATGGAAAGGAGTTTAGATGCATGGATGACCATTCTGGACACTGTGCCAAATTATAAGAAACGAAACCGAAAAGCCTGCACTGTTCAACTTAAAGGAGTTCTGTATGACAGTCAAATTTGTAGACCCAGAAAACAGAACACAGGGAGGGATAAACCAAGAATTGTCTAAAGACATAGAACTTGTTTTGTAAGATGCTCTGGCCTTTATTTCTAGAATAATGTGAACATATTTATTATCATTTAACTGGAAAGCTAAAATGTGTGAATATTGCTTTATCAATCAGAATATAATAAATTGAGAGATGTTAAAATCATTAGGAAACACTGATGGGCGGGGTGATCATCACATGGAGCTCTGTTTCTTCTCATTTTTCTGTAAAATAAATTTCTATAAGGAAAAAAAATGGCAAGAAGATCTTCTATATTTCAGAAGAAAGCATTAAAGTTTAAAATTTAATGGAGTCTACTATTTTCTTGCAGAAAAGGTACAGACTGAAATTGACAGCGTGATTGGTCAGGAGAGACAGCCCAGCCTGGCTGACCGAGAGTCCATGCCCTACACCAATGCTGTCGTCCACGAGGTGCTGAGAATGGGCAACATCATCCCCCTGAATGCTCCCAGAGCCGTGGCGGTTGACACCACATTGTCTGGATACCACCTGCCAAAGGTAACTAGACACTGCCAGCCTCAGATCCTCCAGACCATCTTTGGCATCACTGGAGAACCTAAACTTAAAAAAATGGCATGTTTTCCTGTCCCAAGAAATCACTTCAGTGACTTCAGTGGGGGAAGAGAGGGGTGTCTGATGGCTATTCACAGGAGACCTGGGAATTGGAGAATAGACAATTCCTTGGTCAAGTATGATTAGTCAAAGCCTGGCTTTATTTGCTGTAGGACATCTCAGCATGTTCCTGTGTCTCTGTCTGTCGTATTTGCCTGTGGAGCAGCTTTCCTGACTAGGGACCTGCCAGATTAGTTTAGGAAGTTCTTCACACTCTACAAATTGTAGGATTTTAAAATGTGAAACATTTGAGGCACCTGGACTGACATCACAGCGAGGGAGGTGTTTCTAACACAGTGACCCCACACATGTATTTCCCGGTTTTATTTACAACCCAATGATCCAGAGATTTCTGTCTCACGTGGAAAGTCAGTGTAAAATGCAATGTCATTTTAGCTAAATAGAGAAAAGAGCAAATGGAAAATAAGCAATCATTATGCGTTGTAGACTCACACTTCCTCTGAAACATCTTATTCTGCTTTCAGAATAATTGCCAATCCCTATTTTGTAGCTAGGAGAGTTGAGGCCAAGAGAAATGAAATTTGCCCAAGATCTCTGAAGTACAATGAAAGAGGAGAGAGATCTGAACCAGAACCAGCTCTGAGAGCTTGTGCTATTCCATGGTCTCCCCACAGAACTTGCTTTGGTTTGACACGACAAGGATCTCCAACTCATTTTCCTCCATGACTGGTTATTAAATTACCTGTCTTCACAGGCTGAATTCTCATCACTGCTCACTACTCTCTGAAGAGAGCTCTCCCGTCCCCTAGCATCCCCTCTCCACAATATACAATTACAGCTCCTTCCTGGCTTTCTGCTGCCTGGTTGGTCTCTGAGGATCTAGTTTATCTAACACCCTTGGGCATTCCGTGCTGTGGATGATCTCCAGCAGTAGCTCCAGAAGTGCTTATCTACCACTCAGTACATGGTGACCTTCACTGCAGAGCCAGGAAAGCAGCCTCTGCTTTCTGTTCCCTGCTCACTGGTCAGCCCCTGGCAGGAAGCTGAGGACAGAATTCCCCTGCCCAGTTCTTTGCGTTTCATCTGCCCATTCACTTAATTCCAGCCAACTAGCCTGACTCCTCCCACAAACTTTTAACATCAACTCTAATAGCCACCTCTGTAATGGGAAATTTAACGATTATTTGAAACAGAGGCTAGGATGGCTTTGATAACAGAGGAGCCTAGTTTCAGTGAGGACTCCACCTCCTGCCACTGTGTAAGCACATTACCTAACTACTCACAGCTTCAGTTTCTTCTTTGTGAAATGCATTACATCCACCTGATAGGATTCACCTGGAAATAAAATGAGATCACATGTAATGAGCTTTATATTCAGAATAGAAGCTATTGTTTGTTAAGAAAGCCAAGGTTATTAAGCACCTGATATCTTGGATCTGTAGTGGGGAGAGTTCTGAGTCATAGGAGCCCCTGTGTGTAAGGCATGTGGACTGCCCAGAGGAAAACACTCTAGAAAAGGAGCTCTGTGCTGAGAAGATGGACAGAGCACAAGGGGCTGAAGGAACCAGTGGGTGTGTCTGAAGGAAGAGGGGTTGGAGCTGAGGAGTAAGGGGAGTAAAGAGTTAGATGGGTGAGAACATGGGGCGAATATTCCTAACAAGCAAACAACATTGGAACCTGGTCTTGTTGAGAACACAGAGGAAGACCACTGTAGCAGAAGCCCAGTCAAGTAGAAACACAGCCCTGGTGGCACACAGGAAGAGACTTTCATCTTAGTCTCAAGTTTGAGGAGTGAGTAGGTGGGCAATGTAACTAAGTCATGTGGAAGGCCACCTGGGTTTCATGCTGTGGAGCAGAGGCAGGGCCGGCTGGTGTCTGCAGGGATCTAGATAGAAAAGTGGCATTCTGCAGGTGGGAAACTGGAATGGAAGTGATGGAATTCATGGAGATTTAAAGAACGTGCCAGCCTTGATGATGAATGAGCAGAACAGGGTAAAGCCTCACTGTAGTTGTTCTGGGGATCCTGCCAGGTACCTGCCTGGAAAAGGTTCCTTCGACCACATGCTTAGATTCTTGAATGACTAATTGTGGAGGGACTGAGTGCAATCTCCATGATACTGTTTGGAAGAGAAAGGAGAATCAGAGGTGAAGAGGATATCCTTTTACTTTGTATAGCTGCCGTGGTCCTTGACAGCAATGAGCAGCATGGTTCATTATGTTCCATGATGCTTACAGATCCTCTCCCAAGACCTAAAGTGATGTCTTCCTGTAGAGCAGCTGTATTGTGAAATAAAAGTAGCCTTGGTAAAATACCTAGGAGGCCATTTCAATCCATCACTGTATGATGTCATGCATCAAGGGAAAGTTGTGAGTGGGATAGCTCATGACACAGCACATCAGTGGATTGGCCAGAGTGGGAAAGTTCAGGACGTCAAGAGGCTCAGGCACTGGAGTCTGAGAGCCATCACTCTTCTGTGTGGCTGTGCTCCACATGTTAAGCCTTGACTCTTCACTGCCTTCTCTAGGGGACCATAGTCATGATCAACTTGACTGGACTGCACAGGGACCCTAAAGAGTGGGCCACCCCGGATACCTTCAATCCAGAGCATTTTTTGGAGAATGGACAGTTTAAGAAGAGAGAATCTTTTCTGCCATTCTCAATGGGTGAGTTGTGATGAGCAGGAGAGAGTTCAGAGATCCTGCCTCCGCCCTTCCTTTTCCTCCCCTCACAGTTCTCTGCTTTATTTGGAAACCTTCCAGATGGCCCTGCCCAGTGTGGCCCCCTCTTGCCCTCGGTTGCAGCCCAGCGTTCCCTGGACCTGGCACATCTTCAGACCACCCCTTTTCTCAAGCCCTCTGTGACCTCTGATGCAGAGTTCAGCTTCTCTTATTCTGATTTGCACAATGCTGAGAACACAGAGCCAAGTCCTGACTCTGCTCACAAACAAATCTGCATCCTTCCATCTTCACAGAGTTTATACAAGACCTAATTTCTTCTTAAAATGCACCTTCACATGGTAACAGAGCTGGGTTTTAATTTGGAGATAGGGAGGAGGCCAGTGAGAGGCACTACCTACTTACTGAAATGGACAAATGGGACAATAATTTTTTTTTTTTTGTATACATGTATTGTCTGCCTGTAGGTAATTGCACCTGTGTTGTGCGATGCCCGAGGAGGTCAGAAGAGGCTGTTGGATCCCCTAGGACTATAGTTGCAGATAGTTATTAGCTGCCATATGGGTGCTTGGATTCGAACCCCACTCTTATGCAAGAACAACCAGTGTTCTTAACTGCTGAGCCCTCTCTCCAGCCCTGGGACAATAATTTAAAACACCTTCTTGACTGGATTGGGTTCTTCTCTATGCACACTCCCTGGAGAGGCATTCTGGTTATAAATGTAATTACCTTTTTAAAATCCAGTGAATATGTACATTTATTAAGAACATTAATGTTCTCACAACATGGGGACTTCTGATAAAGGAGGTGGAGTATGGTACGGTCTTCATGGTTAGAACATTCTCAAGTTTTTACCACAGCACATAGTTTTAATTGTATTTTCCAACCAATGCTCTCCCTGTTTCTTGGTTCTGGCCTGAAATTCCGAGATGCTAGACATATATATTCTACCCCTTCCTTGTAGATGATTGTGTGGTTCCTGCAACTGTAATGAAAGGAGTATGTCTTAATATTTTTCTAAACATATTTATTATTTATTTGTATGAGTATTTTGCCTGCATGTATGTAAATGCACCATGTGAGTGCAGTGCTTGCAGAGCTCACAAGTAAGTATTAGAACCCCTGGAACTTCCATTACAGATGGTTGTTAGCTGCCACATGGGTGCTGAGAACTAAAACCAGGTCCTCTGCAAGGTTCTCTGGGTCATTTCTCCTGCCTCAAAAGGAATCTTAAGATGCTTTTAACATTTATTATTTTTTAACATCTATTTATTTGTTTATTTATTATTTATTTTGTGTGGATGGGTGGTGGTGTGCCATGCATTATATGCCACAGCTTATGCATAAAGGTCAGAGGTCAACTTGCAGGGACTGATTATCTCCCTCCATCATGTGGGTCCAGAGGATTGATCTCAGGTTGTTAGGCTTATTAATCACCTTTCCTGAGCCATTTCACCAGTCCCACCCCAGCCTCACATGAAGAAGGAATCCTCTATCACGAAAGAGGCTTAAAAAGATTACTTTTCTTCCTATAAACACCACTCTCCCAGAGAAGCTTCATTTCTCCCTTTGCATAAAGATATTTCCCATCTTCACTGGCTGCGGGATAAAGTCAGCAGCATGCAGTGGTCTCACTGGTGCCTTCTCCCTGGAAACTGTGTTACACCCTTTCCATTACAAAGGTCATTTGCATCTTATCTCATGAAATCCACCCACCCGCTATTAACTACAGAGGAAATGGATTAGTATCTTCTTTTTTACTATACTAAACCTCAAAATGCTCTTCTTGAGATAACAGTGCCCAAGGCTACGTTTTATCCGTATCATTTAATTCTCTGTTTCAATGGGATTTTAACTTACCTCCTCAGCTAGAGCCCTTTTCATTCAGAGATTCAGAGTTCATATATATCAGTTGGTGTCTTGCTGCATAACAAGCCATGCAAAACTATCATGTACAGTTATCACTCACAAATATACAGGTCACATGAGTGGCTCTTACTTGTGTGAGAGGTCAGCTGGTCTAGGATGACTTCTGCTGGAACCATGCTGTTATTCTCAGATTGTGCCTCATCACATCGCACTCCAACCACCTGTTGTTCATATAATGGTGATGATGTCCCAAGAGGGAGAGCAGATGTTCACAGGCCTGGTGAGTTCAGGCTGAAACTGTCACTCCATGAATTCCCCTGCACTCTGGTGGCCTAAACAAGTCATAAAGGCAGCTCCAGCTTAAAGGGCGGGAATTTCCTTCACTCTTGGATTAGAATAACATTGAAATCTAGAGTATATAATGTGGAGCTGAGGCAAAAGGAAAATAGAACTATTTTTTGCTTATTTATATATTTATTATTTTTAACACCTGAGTGGTAAGCAGTCTAACAAGTTCCCAGTTGTACAACTTGCCATTGTTAACAGGATAAAGACAAAGGGGCCAGAGATGAATTAGGCACATTAGCCTGAAATACAGGCAAAAAATATGAAGACATATGCATTATTGTAACTCAGTTACCGAACAACTTTGCCTGTATCATCTCATTTAATTTCTTCAACAAACTGTGAAATGCAAAGAGTAAAATAGAATCATTAATGCATGATCAATTTTTGAATGATATTTCATTTCACGGAAAAATAGAAAGTTGCTAAAGTGAATGATAGAATTAATGTACAATAATGGCTGTTAAGATGCTGAGGGGAGCTATACTCCTAGTTTGGGCCCTGCGCCATTCCTAGTCTTGGGGCCCCAAACACCTGGGGAACCAATACTGCTTCCTGATTCTTCTCACCCAGGCCAACTCAGTCCCTTTTTTGGGCCCCAGGAGCACCGCTTCTGGTCCTGGCCCCACCCTCACCCCTCGCGGCTTCCCTCGGCCTGCACCACCGGCTAACTCTCTTAGCCTACACTACCATCCTCAGGCCTCTTGGGGTAAGTCTATAGCGCAGCTCTCTGCGCCGGGACTCCCTAAGCCACATTCGCCCTTCCATCCCCCCCCCCCCCGCCGTTCTATACTCCTAGTTTGGGCCCTGCACCATTCCTAGTCTTGGGGCCCCAGACACCTGGGGAACCCATACTACTTCCTGATCCTTCTCACCCATACCAACTCAGTCCCTTTCTTGGGCTCCAGGAGCACTGCTTCTGGTCCTGGCCCCGCCCTCACCCTTCTCTGCTTCCCTGGGCCTGCACCACCGGCTAACTCTCCTAGCCTGCACTACCATCCTCACTCCTAGTTTGGGCCCTGTGCCATTCCTAGGCTTGGGGCCCCAGACACCTGGGGAACCAATACTGATTCCTGACCCTTCTGACCTAGACCAACTCAGTGCCTTTCTTGGGCCCCAGGAGCACAGCTTCTGGTCCTGGCCCAGCCCTCACGTCCCTCTACTTCCCTGGTCCTGGAACACCCGCCAGCCCCTTTCTGGGGCTGACAGCCTCTTTCTGGGGCTCCGAGGCTTACCTTGCCTCTCCCTGATCCTTTGCATCCAGTACAACCCAGCTACTCAACCCACTCCCTGGGAAATCTTGGGGCTTATTCCCACCCCATCTGCCTTTGCATCCCTGAGTGGCACCGCCACGGCCAGGATATCAGGTCAGTCCAACACCCAACTTCCTGAGGCCAAAAGCATTCTTAGAAGATTCCAGACCTAAGGAGAAAGTCTGAAAACTTCTGACCCACA